GCTGCCACTGTGATGTTCTTGGGGGTGACTTTCACTGCGGGACAGAGGGGAGAAGGGGTCAGCCCCACCCTGGCACCAGAGCAGCCCAGACCTGCCAGGCCGCTCTACTGGGACTGGCGCATGCCGCGTGGCCAACACACTGCTGGCTTCCCGCAGGAGCTGGGCACACGGTGTAGGGCAGCGTCTCAACCTCTTCTTCATACAGTACCCCCCATACCTACAGTTTTCAGACAAACGTTTTTCTACCGTTGCAACACACTTGTTTAAACAACTTAATCGTAGCCGGGCGGGCAATGACATTTTTGGGTGTAAAAAGTACAAAAGTAATAAAGCGCTGAAAAAAACTTCAGTTCTCTCCAGATGTCAGTTGCGTGGACGTACCCCCCAGACTTGTCGAGTCCCCCCAAGGGCACCCGTCCCGCTGGCTGAGAAACAGCGGTCCAGGGCAGCTTGGATGGCCCTGCCGTGACCACAGTGCAGCTCTCCAACAAGCAAAGCCCAGGCCTGCCCCAGTCTTGTGCGTGCAGCACACAGGCCAGGCCGAGGAGAAGCTCTGCGAGGCAGGAAAGTTTGGATAACAATGCAGAGGGAGGGCTTCAGCGACACACGACAGGCAGCCTTGGACGGGAACCTCTGGGTCTGATGAGCAAGTGACAGACGCAGCCAGAAAACCCAACCGCGCGCAGAGCAGCAACACCCCGAGGGGCAGGCTGCTAGGGGCACTGGGCATTGAGGGATCTTACACACGACGGAATCAATGATTAGGACGACCAAGGCTGCTCGGCTGTGCCATGGGCTTAGCGAGACGAACCGATGGGAGGGAGGCAGCAGTAACTAGGCCCTTGCGTGGCGTCCCAACGGGTGGGAATCAAAGGGACCAGGATGAAGCGTATGAGGACGAGGCTCTAGTGTTGTATTCTAGATCTCCTAGGCACTGTCTTAGCTGCTTTAGAACTTACAGGATTCCAGGTTTAAATTGTACAGGGATTGTGTTTCAGGCTTGTGAAATTGAAACAACTGTATTAACTGCTTAACGCTGGCAATAAATAAGGAAGTGGCTAAGTCTCGTGGGAGACTCCTGGTTTCCCTTGGATCTAAAATCAATCAAACCACACGACACACGGGCACAGCCAGGCTGTGCCAGGGCAGAAGGGGGAGCTGTGGCCTGGAGGACGGGGACAGGAGACGTGGCCGTGTCACGGGCTGGGCAGGCAGCCACGTGCCAAGTGCCCTTCCTGGAGGCTCCGGACCACCCAGGAGAGGCCCTGGGATAGGGGAACCCAAACATGCAGCCCAGGGCAGCTTCCACCCGGCACCTCCCAACCCATCGGCCGCGCTGTCCTGCAGGGGAGCCTGAGCCCCGAGAGGCACCGCAATCGGCAGCAGAGCCAGAAGTCCTCCCCCAAGGCCATGCTGAGATGGGCCCCCGGACGAAACACTGCCCCCCTACGAAACACTGCCCCCCTACGAAACACTGCCCCCCTACGAAACACTGCCCCCCTACGAAACACTGCCCCCCTACGAAACACTGCCCCCCTACGAAACACTGCCCCCCTACGAAACACTGCCCCCCTACGAAACACTGCCCCCCTACGAAACACTGCCCCCCTACGAAACACTGCCCCCCTACGAAACACTGCCCCCCTACGAAACACTGCCCCCCTACGAAACACTGCCCCCCTACGAAACACTGCCCCCCTACGAAACACTGCCCCCCTACGAAACACTGCCCCCCTACGAAACACTGCCCCCCTACGAAACACTGCCCCCCTACGAAACACTGCCCCCCTACGAAACACTGCCCCCCTACGAAACACTGCCCCCCTACGAAACACTGCCCCCCTACGAAACACTGCCCCCCTACGAAACACTGCCCCCCTACGAAACACTGCCCCCCTACGAAACACTGCCCCCCTACGAAACACTGCCCCCCTACGAAACACTGCCCCCCTACGAAACACTGCCCCCCTACGAAACACTGCCCCCCTACGAAACACTGCCCCCCTACGAAACACTGCCCCCCTACGAAACACTGCCCCCCTACGAAACACTGCCCCCCTACGAAACACTGCCCCCCTACGAAACACTGCCCCCCTACGAAACACTGCCCCCCTACGAAACACTGCCCCCCTACGAAACACTGCCCCCCTACGAAACACTGCCCCCCTACGAAACACTGCCCCCCTACGAAACACTGCCCCCCTACGAAACACTGCCCCCCTACGAAACACTGCCCCCCTACGAAACACTGCCCCCCTACGAAACACTGCCCCCCTACGAAACACTGCCCCCCTACGAAACACTGCCCCCCTACGAAACACTGCCCCCCTACGAAACACTGCCCCCCTACGAAACACTGCCCCCCTACGAAACACTGCCCCCCTACGAAACACTGCCCCCCTACGAAACACTGCCCCCCTACGAAACACTGCCCCCCTACGAAACACTGCCCCCCTACGAAACACTGCCCCCCTACGAAACACTGCCCCCCTACGAAACACTGCCCCCCTACGAAACACTGCCCCCCTACGAAACACTGCCCCCCTACGAAACACTGCCCCCCTACGAAACACTGCCCCCCTACGAAACACTGCCCCCCTACGAAACACTGCCCCCCTACGAAACACTGCCCCCCTACGAAACACTGCCCCCCTACGAAACACTGCCCCCCTACGAAACACTGCCCCCCTACGAAACACTGCCCCCCTACGAAACACTGCCCCCCTACGAAACACTGCCCCCCTACGAAACACTGCCCCCCTACGAGGCGCCCTTCTTGAGCAGCAGGGGCCGGCCGTGGCGCGGCAGCACCGGCTCGTCCATCAGCGGGTGCTTCTTGGCGAAGTTCAGGGTGTTGTCGGGCAGCTCCAGCGAGCTGACGATGCCATTCTGCCGGTGCCAGTCCGTGATGCACTGCAGGGAAGGGGAGAGGGGCACAGGGGCGGGGCACCGATGCCATTCTGCCGGTGCCAGTCCGTGATGCACTGCAGGGAAGGGGAGAGGGTCACCGGGGCCGGGCACCAAGGGCAGCAGCCAAGCTGGGGGGCAGGGCATAGCTGAGCCGGCAGCATGGGGAGCAGAGGCAGCGGGAAGCCCCAGGGCTGGGGGAGGGACCCTGGCAGGCAGGGTAGGGGTGGCAGAGAGGAGGTGCCCCATGCAGCCGGGGGGTGGGGAATCAGTGAGTGCCCACCAGACCCCAAAGGGGCACATTGAGCGGGCACCAAGGGCAGCAGCCAAGCTGGGGGGCAGGGCATAGCTGAGCCGGCAGCATGGGGAGCAGAGGCAGCGGGAAGCCCCAGGGCTGGGGGAGGGACCCTGGCAGGCAGGGTAGGGGTGGCAGAGAGGAGGTGCCCCATGCAGCCGGGGGGTGGGGAATCAGTGAGTGCCCACCAGACCCCAAAGGGGCACATTGAGCGCTCCGGGGGCAGCATTCAGCACCCTTTGTGCCCAGCAGAGACGAGTGCCGCTGGCACTCCTGCGGGGATGACCGGGTACCTCCTGGTCCCCACGGCACTTACCGCCCCAGGCCGGGGGCTGGGCACCTGGTCCGAGTACCTGCCCCACTTCTGGGCCTGCTCCCGGTACTCCTTGTAGGGCCCCTCGAAGACCTTGCGCACGTCCTCGATGTGGTACTGGCAGACGGCAGAGACATCCACATCCCCCCTGCAGGGAAGGGAGGGTGAGCCCCGGCCTCGGGGGGGGAGTGGGGCAGAGGGAGCCGGGGGACA